AAAATACAGGTATTTATTTTTCAGTTTATTATTGAAACTCAGGCTCATAATTTAATTTCTGTAGGAATTTTATCACATTTTTCTTTTGAGAAATCAACATCTTCCGTAACAGTGCATATGTGGTTTAAATTTGTCGGATAAGTTGTGAAACACCCTGTATAGGTCATTTATTTTGCATTAGTGTTTCCGCAAGAAGAAATGGGATATTCAAATTAATGCAATACACATGTTTATCCAACATTGCAATGCAATTAATCTTAATATTTTTCGTTTTAAATCCCTGGCAACAAGAGTCTACTTGAAAATTTTTCTGTCGTCAAAATGACCTTGCAGGTCATGATCAGGTTCATTGGCAAGGACATACTTATACTTAAAATTACCCGCAATCTGCATTTCAGGAATTAAAAAAGGTGTTTGTTAAAAATTCGTCTGACCTTCAAATGATCTTGATAATCATAGTCAAGGTCATGGACATACTTGAACTTGAAGTTGGTTGCTCTTTTCATTTCCGGTGTCGAAGATAGGGGTTTCTATTTAAGAAAACTAACTTGACCTCCAAATGAGCCTGAAGGTCATAGTCAAGGTCATGTTCTTGATCTACATTGGAGGAACCTTTTTAAACTCTATATTCTTATTAAACATTATTTTCTGAGATTATTTTCTTTTCCATACTTTCTGGACGCTCTCAAATACTCCTGAAGGTCGTAGTCACAGGCAAAGATATGGTTTAACGTAAGACCCCTAGGTCTTCACTTTCCCGTGTGAAAAATGGAGGTCTCATTTGGAAAATTATCTTGATCTTCAAATGACGTTGTAGGTCATAGTCAAGGTCACATACAAGGTAATCAATGGATTTACCTTCTCAACCCTCACAACTTTGTTTTTCAACATTTTTTTCTGAATGCATACCATTTGAACGCCCGGTATATTTTCGCAAATAAGACCGTGCATATAACATTGATTGGATTCAAATTAGTAAAAGCACACGTTTTTACGTCTCTCCGTACTGCGCTTCAGACGTGATGCTTACAAACTGGATAGACATTCACATTTATAATATACAGGGTGGCGCATCGAAAACGAAACAGACGCATTTACTGGCAGCTCAGTTTTTTTGGAAAAACGCTCACACCCATCGATTTTATTTTCGAGGGGGACACAAGTCTGGCAAAGAATCACGTTAGCACGTGCAGCCCCCTAAGCGGGGGTGACACCACCCCCAAAATCTTCAATGGAAAGGGGGGTCGAGTGATACCTTCTTTTTAAAGGTCTTTCAATTCCCTTTAAAATGATATAAAATAATGGACTTCAGTTCAGTAGTTTTGAAGATATATTGATTTAAAGCTTAAATAAAACTAATACATCATCATTAGTGGAGATCAATATATTTGGCAGCAAAGTAATTTAAAAGAGAAGAATTAACTGACCCGTTAGGCAAGTAAATGTTGAAAATGGCCACCATGACTTTCCATGCAATAATAAAGATTTTGGTCAAAATGTTGCCGCACATTTTGCAATATTTGAGGCGTAATTTGAAGGCACTCATTCACAGGTCTTTGTCGCAGGTCTTCTAATGATGTCGGCTGTGTAGCATAGATTTTGGTCTTTAAATGACCCCACATAAAGAAATCCAAAGGTGATAAATCTGGCGATCTTGGGGGCCATTCAATGGCACGTCTTCTACCAATCCATTGGTCTGGAAACGTCTGATCTAAATATTGTCGAATACGTAATGCGTAACGTGGTGGGGCACCATCCTGTTGGAACATCAACCTATTCGCAATGTACCGCCGATCATTCTGATTTTCAATTATGGCTGTTAATGCAGGATCTATGGCGTCTTCCAGAAATTCCAAATACATTTCACCGGTCAAATTTCCAGGTAAGAAAAAAGGACCAACTAAATGATCGCCAAAAATACCAGCACAAACATTTAATTTTTGTGGCTGCTGTGTATGAACCTCATGATAAATTCTGGGATTAGAATCGGACCAATATCGGAAGTTATGACGATTTACTACGCCATTTAAGGAAAAGGAACATTCGTCGGAAAAGCAAGTGTTAAATAGAAAATGTTTGTCGTTTATAACTCGTTCACTCTTATCTTCACAAAATTGTAATCGCCGATCAAAATCGTCTTCATTAAATTCTTGTACCAGGTGAATTTTATACGGATGAAAACTATGGGCCTTTAGAATCCGTTGGATAGTACGTCGACTAACACCACACACAGTCTCCAATTTGCTTCGTTCCTTATGGGATTTCCAATGTTGCGTTTTTTATTGGCGACTGACCCAGTTTCCCGAAATTATTAATTATTATTATATTAATTAATTACGTTGTTACTGTTCTCATGTCGCTCATTAAATATTTCTGCTGTTCTATTAGCGCACTGATTATTTCCGAAAAATATTTCGATAATTTCAAATCTTTCTGCTGTGGAATATACCATGATTAGTTTATCTAATAAAGCGTTACAAGTTATTTTAGCAACAAAGTTTGGTAAAATCAATCGCAAACTATAGTATGTATTTAAAATAAGTACGAGATATTTCCTTATCTCTCTTCAAGAAATAACTTTTTGCCACAAAAACGCTCCAATAGCTATTTTTAACAACAAAATGATAAACAAACCATGGGCGTAGTGAAGAAAAGCATTTACTTATTAAGTACATTTTTTTAGTCAAATTGCTTCTGAAAGTAGTACAAACTAATCTGATTAACCTATTAACGTCTACTTTAAGCTTTAAATCAATATATCTTCAAAACTACTGAACTGAAGCTGGTGTATTTTACATCATTATAAAGGGAATTAAAAGACCTTTAAAATAGGGTATCACTCGATCCCCCTGTCCATCTAAGATTTTAGGGTTGGTGTCACCCCCGCCCAGGAGGCTGAACATGTTAACGTGATTCTTTGTCAAACTTGTATCCCCCTCGAAAACAAAATCGACGGGTCTGAGCGTTTTTCCAAAAAAAAAAAAAAACTCAGCTGCGAGTAAATGCGTCTGTTTCGTTTTCGATGCGCCACTCAGTATAATGATATACGTATAGAGGGTGATTCAAATTTGAGCAGTGAACAATGTAGTGAAGAGTTAGGCTTTACCTACAAAATAACAAACAATTGGACATCTGCTATAATTATTTACCTCTGCTCATTTGTTCAAAGATCCAATATGGCGTTTATAAGAAAAAGTAAAGTTTATGCTTGAGCACAAGAAACGAAACGTCATATTGATATTCTACTTATGCCATCTTGTAGAGGAGAAAAAGTGGTAATGCTAATATGCAATTTGCTTTGAATCCCTATCTTAAATACAGTCAGAACAAAATAAAAGTGATTTTGCGAATGTCGGTTTTCTCCGTGTCTCTCCGGGAGTACTTTAAAATTCGAAACTTTCTAGCGGCACTTTATTGATTATCTAAATATGCATCTTTGCCTCTATTTAAGAGATTATTTATATCTTACAGTTTCCCAGATCTGAATGGTGGAGATCGCATATAAAACACTGTGTATAGAAGACCTGCCAAATGAAAAACCCATAAATTCTTAACACTAAATCCATAAAATATATAAAACTTACCCAAACTTTAACCACACGCCCACTACCGACCCTAGCCATCAAGGCCGAACTTTCTTACTCTCGATTGCGTAATTTATTTAGAACAAAGAAATACTTTCATCGACTAAAAATTGAACCGATCTAGAACTGAAAAAAGTGCAAAAAAACGTATTTGAATGCAAACTCAACGGCACTTGAGAGGGCAAGGTTTGTACTTCAAGATGACGACCATGGTATTTTGAAAAAAAATTGCTATGTTACATAACCTCAAATATAAGCTATTTCTGCACCTTTAGGTTAGAGCCATTTGAGATATTTGGATCGCATGGCTTTAGCGCTTCAAATATCTTCACTTATATCGGGATATGTTATCGTGCACCGTGCATCCCGAGGGAATGCATTTAAATGAATATTCAGAATTGCACAGGGTGTCCTGTCCTCGCACAGTGGCGATTGGACATACCTTTCCCATCCGGTTTGATTCACTTGAACACCGCTGGATGAGGCGCCAGGCAGCTTGAAAGAACAAGGGAAAGGTGGTGTGGGTAGGAATAATTAACAGTCGATCCTGAAAGATGGTTGGTAGCTGGTGCTGTAGACCAGTTGGTTAGGTCGGCTCCACGGAATGGAGGAGATGCGGGTTGTAATCCCACCTTCTTTCCCGGTCTCAACTTGTTGTTTACCAAACATACTCGCTGTTGTGGATGCACTCATCCAAAAAAACATATACAAGTTTCGTTATCCGTGTTGAGATCTACAACATACTTAATTTAAAAAAATAAATAATAGTCTCAAAAACTAAAAAAACACGCTCTAACCCAGAGTTCCCCAAACTTTTTTGTGTCGTAGACCCCTGATATTGATTTCCTGTAAATTTCTAACTGTAGTGAAGTTTAGTGTTAAAAACTTAAAGTAAAAACACATGTTAATTTATACATTTATTGATTGAATTTAAATTAAAACTACTCAAAATAAAATTTTGTATCTGTTATGTAAAATATACGTATCTAATATTAAATAAACAGGTGTCTGACCAATAAGTGCCCGCATTGGGAATAAGTTCCCGCATTGAAAAAAAAATAAGGGGGATAAAATAAAAAAAAAGTGAAAAATAATAGTAAAAAAAAGTTTTTTACTTAAAATAGTATAATAAGCGAGTTCGTTTATTAATTATAACATAAACGTATGTTCTACAATAATTTCACTGTTAGTTTGATTAAGTTCCGCTTCTTATACGTTTAAGTTATCTAAAAATAGGCAAAAAATTAACGAATTTTAGTGTGTACCAATCTTTGAATTTTCAGAATAATTTAAAAAAAAATATTTTCTATAAAGGGGGGTTCTTTAAACAAATCAATGCGGGCACTTATTCCCAATGCGGGCATTTATTGGTCAGACACCAATAAACATAAAATAAACTATAAATAAAATAACATTAGCAATAAGTCAATATTTTTAGTAAGAAGAATGAACCTGATGCTTTAATAATAAATTGTATTATGATATTCGTTTCTTCTATGTCACCATATGGATTAATTATCCACGGTGGTATTACCATAAACAAAATATCCTCAAAACATAGATTCAAAATCTGAATAGAGGGCATTTAAATGTTGAACGTAAGTTGAAACGTCGTCTTCCTGGCAGCTTGTCTGTGACAAATTGGGGAACTGAGAAAATTCACCCCGTCCAATATTTTGCTTCATTCGTTTAACTCTGGCAAGAAACGCTGATAAGATGGACTTTATTTTAATCAAATTTAAACCGTCGCCTTGTAATTTCAAATTAACCATATTAGATTTTGTAAACAAATCTGTTAAATAGGCGATGTCTGTTTTCCTCTTCATTAAATTTTCTTTTGAAATTATATCTTTAGTATCCAGAAATTCTAAAATAATCTCAAAAAGTGCAAAAAATCTTGTCAAACATAAGCCTTCCAACAGCCAGCTTACTTCAGTGTGAAGGAGTAATTGATGAAAGTGTCATTTTCTTCACGCAACTGCGCAAATAACCGCGTATTCAACGCGTTGCTTCGGATTCGGTTTACTGCAAATTTTTAGCAACTAAATGTTGTCGATGGACGATGCAATGTATTGCTAACACCCCTGACACATTTTGTTTTAAATAGCTTATAAATCCACGATAACGTCCAACCATGGCAGGTGCTCCATCTGTAGCTACTGATATTATATTTGATAAAGGAATTGCTTTTTCAATGAAGTAATCCTTCAAAATATGAAATATTGATTCACCTTTAGTGTCGGTTATCAAAGTTCTTGCGAAGAGCAGTTCTTCGTAGATTTCTTGATTCATAATAAGACGAACATATGCCAATAATAATGCTGCATTATCAGGTAAAGTTGATTCGTCCAGTTGTATAGAGAAATGGGTAGTTTGCAAATAATTACATAACAAGCTTTCAATATCAGAACTCATTTCATCAATACGTCTTTCAACAGTATTGTTGCTTAAAGGAATTCTTTTAATGATATCAGATGCAGGTTTGTGTAAAACAGTTTTTAAAACCTCTTCAACGGCTGGCAAAATTAACTTCTCTTCGATAGTATGCGGTTTTCCGGATTTTGCAATAAGTAACGAGATATTGTAAGATGCCCGCAAACCATCATCATTTCTTTGTGACGTCGAAGCGAACATTCTGTCCACTGTAGGTCTCTTCTGAAATTTATCTTTGAGTGTTTTATCAGGGTGGCATCTTCTCAGATGATCTTGCAGTTTAGATGGTTTCACAGCGTCATTGCCCAAAACTTTGTTGCATAAAAGCCACATAGGCGATTGTTTGTCCGGCAATGATGGAATTAAGCCAAATTTCAAATAATCAACACTGTACTGTCTACATTTCTTTTTAGATTCAGACATGGCATTAGTCATCTGTGGGCAAAATTAAATTATTTAAATAAGACAGAAAATCCAGCAGCTGTAAATTAAAAATATTTTTTGATTTTTCCGAAAACATTCCATAATTCGAACATCTTCTTGCAACAGTTAGCTCGAATTACGGAGATTGCACTTTAATTATATTACCGATTGCTAAAACTTTCAAAAAGAAACTATTGAGGAGTACTCGTGTAATTTTGCATGATTGAATATTTAACTGCTAATAACTAAAGTCATGATTGGCGTAATTTATCTATCTTTGCTTTGAGTACAAAACTAAAATTTAATAAAAAATAATGTACTAACTTTTCTCCAGCACTCTCAAACAAAATAACACTGACTCACTATAATTTGTTTGATATACTATCTATTTATATTTTTTAAAATATTTTCTTAGCACTTTCCTTTTCAAGATTCAGGAAACGAATAAACGTATTTGTCCCACATTCGTATTTTTAGAGTGACGAATTGAACAAGTCAGTGCAAGGTAGCGAAGCTGTGAGACTGCGACTCTCAGGTTTTTACAAGTTCAAAATGTATTGCTACCACAAAGCGAATACCAACATCCTACAACTTACACAATTTTATAAACATATATAATAAATTTTTTACTTCATAGGTACTTTTATAAATAATGTATATGTTTTGATATTATAAAATAGTATGATGTAAGTAAATAGGTACTATCAGTGCATGTGTTGAGATCCACTATCATGGACCCCCAAATTTTTTTTCGTTGACGTAGACCCCTTGCAGGTTGTCACAGACCCCTAGGGTCGATATAGACCACTTTGGGAATCAATGCTCTAACCGAACTAAAAAGTAGAAAATAATTTTCAATTACAGGGAGTTCATATTACCTCAGTAGATGGTCGAGCAATCAATCATAGTCAATGACCTCAAAATAAAATTATATTAAAATTTAACTTATTAACAGAATAATTCAATTCCGAGTAAAAAGCGTAGGGTTATCAAATTATTGCATTGTCCGGTCCTTGATACGTGTGCGAACTTCTGGATATTGGTGAAAACTATGCTCAAAGATTTCGTTACACACATACAGGCCAAGCTAATAAAAGCGTGTTAATAAAATATCCGAACGCCGTTACCCATAAGGATTCTGCGGGGTCGATTCCATTCTTGTATTTGACCAACCTTACTTCCAAGTCAATTATTGAAGTATTTTTTGCTCCACGCTCCTTGCAACTGCATTTCCTATGGAAATAATCAAGGCCAGAGAACGTTCAACACGTGATGAGCTTTCCAATTTAAGCCCTGACAAGCATATCGATCTATCACGTCCGGCATCCTACTTCGTTAGACAAAAGTTGAGGAATCCAATCAACCATTGCGCTTTTAACTGCACTCCCTTTTTGTCTCTATCCCGTTCATCCGCTAGAGCCACAATGTACGACGTACGATGCATAGCGCGCTATCTAAATTGTTGTGTTAAACGAGGAGACCTCCGCTATTGCACTCTGCACGAGAGGCTGCCAGCAACTTTTTCTCGTAATGGAGAGACTAATGTAATTAAAGGCGGTCAAATGGAGGCGAGAGATTTCATTTGTGATCTTCACGTACGTATATATCTAGAAGCAGCACCGGATTAGCCAGGCTCACATCAACCGGTGCATTTGACACCATCGGTATCTTTGGCTGTTGACGCATATGGGTGGGATATCTATTTAGATAAGCTGAAAATCGCAAACTATTCACCAAGAACAGCAGAAGAACAAGAAGTAGAAGGAAAAAAGATATATGTTGTATTCGTTGAATTTTTGTTTCGTTGCCTTGGTTCTGGATTTACTTCTGCTTCACATTATACTACACACGCCTCCTGGAGAGGAAGCATTGCAATCGCGAATAATTCTGAAAATCAGATATAACGTTTTTTGGATGCTATCAGGTAACCAAATAATGAACGCCCTGTAGAAAGAACGAGCTGTAAAAAGAACGCCCTGTAAAAAGGGTTTTGACAACATTGTCACATTTGCGAGCTATAACTTTTCTGAGATTTGTTGGCGAGAAAAGGTTTTTAAAAGATGGAAGTTGACCCAGGAGGATCAACAGACGACCCAGTTCCACATACTATGAGGAAAGAGCTGAGCGGTGGCGGAAACCAAGCAGAAACAGAAAACATGAGATCACTGACGCAGATGTAATCGGAGCAGAAAACGATCGAAAAACTGATGCTGATTATAGACGACCAGGCGAGGCAGATTCGAGACCTAATGGAGACCATCAAGGACCAGACAGCCAAAATTGACAGCCTTATCGCCCAGGTAACCATATTACTAAACTCAAAAGAATCCCCTAAAGAACGGACAAAGACCCTAAGAAGACCACTGAGAAACGTTACTGATGATCATCTCACATCCACAGACGAAGACGTACAGACTGAAGGATTTGTAAAAGCAAAATCAAGAAGGAGGAAAGGCGACAAGGCTGATCGATCAACCAAGACTTTCCTCCTCTTCCGAATACAGGATCAATTCCATTTCACACCTCCCCCAATTCATCAAATCGAAACACTATTAATGCTTCTATTACCAAGCCAGGGACCACGTTATCTACATGTCAGGTGACTCCGTCAGCCGATGTTACTTCTCCTCCGTCATCTCGTCCAACCGTCGTGGCATCAACACAACCCTCACGACAAGGGCGCATAACCCCGATCGTCTTACGCGACGGGACGAGATGGCGTACTTTAAATTTCAAGTTTACTTCCCTAGGTATTGAAATAGATCGCGCGGTTGCAGTCGATGCGGGAATAAGGATTATTCCTAAATCCGAGGACGACTACCGTAAGATCGTTCGCCTATTCCGAGAGGAAGCAGTGCCCCATCACACTTTTCCTCTCCCTTCGGAACGGAACATCCATGCGGTGGTTCGAGGAGTTCCCGTCAACTTTTCGGATACTGAGATTAAGGGAGGACTGGAGCAGAGGGGATATAGCCCTCTTCACATCATTCGATTGAAGCGCAGCGGCGGCGCGCCCATGCCTTTGGTGGTCGTGATACTGCCCAAGACTGAAAAGTCTCAGCAAGTGTTCAACGAACACGAACTGCTGGGACTGGCCATTCGAGTTGAGGTTCAGAAGAGCTCCAGACTCATTGGGCAGTGTCACCGCTCCCAAAAGTATGGGCATGGGCAGCCATATCGCACTGCACCGCCCAAATGCTTAAAATGTGTAAAGGACCACATGACGCACTTGTGCCCCCTCACAGAAGAGGAAGAACGCAAGTGCGCGAACTATGGAGAGGAACATCCCGCAAATAGCCGGACTTGCAAGTTCACTCCAAGGAGGAACTTGCAAGTTATAGCGCAAAGGCGCAATATATCATACGCGGACGCAGCTCATGAGGCAACCTTGCCTGCCCCCTCTGCCCAACCTCCCTTGAGTACGCAAAATGGGGACCTGGCAACCGCGCTAAGGTCCGTACAACAAATAATAAGCCCACTGATTAGCGCTACCCAAGCGTTGCAGGCGATATTTCCTGTAAATGTCTGGGTTCAACAGTAGATAGCCTGCATTCATCAAAATTCTTTTTTGGAATTGTTTGGGCATGAGGGATATTCCCAAAAAACGGGAATTTCATCAAGCTCTTTTGGATGAAGGTATAGGTGTGGCCTTGCTGCAGGAAACGTTGCTTAATCCGGGATATCGTTTAGCTCTCCCGAATTATGATGTTATCCGAGGTGACAGATTGAATGGTCGAGACGGCGGTTTAGCAGTGTTGATTAAACGCGGTATAGACTATTATAGAAGCACTAATGCGGAGATGCATAGCATCGAAGCAGCTTCTGTGGTGGTCAATATGGCGGGAGGTGTCTCGTTGAAGATCACATCGGTGTATGTCAGGTGTGGTGCCAGGCTACAAGAAGCGGATCTGGAGGTCCTTTTGGACTACTCGGGTCCGCTTATTGTGGCAGGGGACTTCAACTGCAAACATCGAGCATGGAATTCTAGGTTGAATTCCACTAGCGGGGTTCGATTGTTCAACCATGTGATGCGAAATGGGTACCTTATAATTACATAGCACTGAAGAGCCGACACATCATCCATTCAACCATCTTCAGGCACCAGATGTCATCGATTTCGCGATATCTAAAAACTGTAGATACAGTATCTCTTCTCGAATCTTGTATGATATCTCTAGTGACAATCTACCTGTTGTCATGAATGTGGGCAATGAGCAAACTTCTGAGGAGGCAACTCCTCCAAGGAAACGCATTGATTGGGACCTATACAAGTTGCTCCTTAGAGAGTTTCCCTATATCCCGATTATAGATGATGAGTCTGGAATAGATGCCGCTCAAGCGGAGTGGATAAGTTTCATTCAAGCAGCTCTACAGCGTGCAGCTGTATTTCCTGTACAACGACACGGCAGACCTTTTTTGCCTGCGGACATTCGTCAGAAAATCTCTGACAAAAAAGCCGCTATTAAGCAGGCAAAAAGGTCTTGTCATCCTGATGACATTCGTAGGGCTACAAATCTTGTCCATGGAGTGAGAAACGCACTGCACGAAGTCCGCAACGTGCAATGGAGCGACTTTCTGGCGGGAATGCTTGATTCAAGTATTCCTCTTTGGAGGGTCGCAAAGTCACTCAGAAACGGAAAGCGAGAACAACTCCCACACATCCACGGTCCTGAAGGCTAAGTCTTCAGAACGGAGGATAAGGTCGAGGTTTTTGCTGATGCCATGGAAAAACAGTTCTCTCCAAACCATGATCTCGATAATGACCTCGACGAGGAACAGCACATCGTACGATCCGTCAGGAGATATTTTAGGGCCAACGGCGTCATCGGAGGCACTGAATCCTCTTCAGATGGCGCTTCTACAGAAGATTCGTCTGAGGCTCCACATAGCACATTAGCGGAACCCTCCGA